TAAGGTTAGACTGTACAAATACACATTTCAATTTTTCTGAAACTGAAGACATTAGGCTATATAAACTAATACTAGATTTATGAATGCAAAGATAATATTCAAAATGAACAAGAAACTCTGGAAAAACATAAAGTAGTGGTTTTCCACCAAAGCATGAAAAGCATTTTGAGGGATTTACTAAATGCTACTGCTGAATATAATCTTCTGTGGCTTATAATGTGGAGTAAAGATTAAGTAAATCACTGTCTTGCCTGACAAGGAAAACATCTATTTTAGACCGCTTCAAAAATTTGGTTGGTGTGTCATTACGGTGACATATTCATTTTCCTTTAGGCCTTCACACTAAAATGCAATTTTATAGATGGTATCATAAACTTTAAGAGCTGTGTGTGCCAGTGACACTTGCTTGAATGTTTTTAATAATACAGTAATACCAAAGCAATACATGTGAGAAAAAGGGGGGAAAAAAAAGCATAAGCAGTGCAGAGCAGATGTATTTCCGTACTTGTGTAACAACAGCAGATTTAACTGTCTGTGCAACATTTACATTATCTGCCACTCCTAGAAATATCAGTAGTTCAAAATACTTTTGATTAAATTACTGGGAGTCACTTTTTTCAAATCATGTTCTGGGATCTTTTTCAAAGAGATATGCATGTAAACTCCATTTGAATTGACTCAAAAAAAAACTGAATGGAAAGTTCAGGTCATGTATATACGATTATTATCACATACAAAAGACATAAAAACCGTAATTCCTCGTTTGTATAAAAGTATTTTTGGTAGAAGCATTTAAAATCAAACTGTTAGTGAACAGAAGGTTAGCATGCCTTTTCTTCAGATTCAGTAACACCTCCTACATCTGACTACAAAGGCATGTTTATTATATCTTCAATGTATTTTAGTGTATATTTAAGCGTAAATAATAAAGACATAACATAGCACGCATGTTCTACACTTTTAGCAGAAATCAATACTAGATATTTCTTTTATTCTGCTAAGCAATATGGACATATTTCCTTCCAAGAAAAGTGATAAATTATTTCCATTAGTCCCACAGCATTGCTGAGTAGCACAGAACGGGGAGTAATCTACCACTTAACATGCCCTTGTGTTATGGCACCATCTACTACGGAATTAAATGCACTTGCCACGCATTTAAGCACAAATTCCCTGGAACCTTTCATGTCACACACCTTTATAAAGGCAAGCTACTATATAAAGATACAAATCATGGGTGGCAGAAAGTATCTACCATTTTCTTTGCAGCAGAAAATAACGTCTGTGAGGAAACTTTGGCTATCCATGTTCTGAAACTAACAGTAAATCCATTCTCTTGAAAGGACTACATACAAAGTATAACTATTATTCAACATGTTTGTGAATGGCAGAACCTGATGGGTCTGGCATTCTTACAAAAGCTATAGACTTTTTTTGGAATCTATGCCAAAGAGGAACCTGAGAGCGGCTGATCTTCAGGCCGTCTGAATGAGGAATGCTTAATACACAGAAGAAAAACCAAAGCACCAATCAAGAAGCTTGTAATTGTGAAGAAAAATAGAGTTCCTTCTGCACTGTTTTTTTCTTTTCTGTCTAAACAGGAACTACTGCAATCTTTTTATGTAGATTCAGTACAAAAGAATGAGTCAGGGTAGATTCACAGAGCTATGGCAACGTTTGAATGAGACATCCGAGGCAATTATTTTTCTTTGATAGAAAATGACTGTAAAGATGCCTTTACATAAGAAGAACATGGATTTCTTTCCTTTTCAAAATTTCGCTGAAAAAGAGAAATCTTCGGATTACTCTCTCTAATTTAGCTACACTGAGCTTCTGTTAATCTACTATTTCAGTTGACATAGAACAATGAGGGCTTGCTTCTTGTCAGAAGCTATAGGCCTGACTTGTATTGGTAAAGCTTTTTATGTTTTTAAAATTAAAACATTATTTGCTTTTGACTGAGAGACCACAGAAACGCATGTGTGCAGGGAAGACTCATTTAGTGCTTTCTATGTCCTAATTTCAACTTTTATAAACAGGAAATCCAATACAAAAGAGATCAGATATAAAGTATTTTGGTAGGAAATAAATATAAAATTGTTTTATATATTCCTCCCTCCTACTTTGGTACCATAGAAAAAAAAACTCCCTTGCATTTCTACATTTTTATCAATAGGTGGCAATAGTAATAAAAAACCCCACCTGTGTTTCCTATCTAGTTCTTATATCTAGTTATATATAATAACTATTTTCTACTGCAATGTTTCCATCGTAGAAGTAACAGGCTGGCAGCATTCAAACTGGGTTCCAGACTAGTGCCATATTTTATATGGTCATTTTTTCAAATCTATGTACTTCAGTCCTGGCAACTGACTACATAGCCATTTTTAGAATGAAAAGACTGTGATATACAGACACTCAACAATCTTTCTGATCTTTAAGATGTCCATCTTTGTCACTGAAAGGAACACTGATTGTACATGAATCTCAAGGAATTTCAAGACTAGGGTGATTCTACAATTTTTGGATCACGTTGACAAGAATTAAAAAATTAAATTCCACCATCTTTTATTCTCCTTCACATGGTAATATGAACTGTTTGAAGGAATTTAACATTTCAGGGTAACCTTGATAGGAAACATGGTCATAGAGAACACTAAGACAAAGCAATTTTGAGCATAAATGTGTTTGCTTTAATCTAAAGAAACCTCCGCATTCAGTAATATTGACCCTTTCTCTCCTCGAAATAAATTGAAATCTGTAAATAAAAAAATTAATACATAAGCATAGTAGCATCATATGAAAGATGAACCTCCTTCTTCCACACTTTCTATAGAAATTTGCATTCATTTAAGTAAAAAGACCACAATCTCAACTGAAAGAGGAAGGAGGGATTTTAAAAACAATAATGTATTTCTTTGCCAATAAGCAAACATGTTCTTACACTGAACTGGAATTACCAGCTACAGATGGTGAAACAGAAGCAGCAACACTCAAGTTCTTTGTAGTAATAGTCTGGAGACTCACTGATTTTAGGATTTTCTGCCTCTACTAAGGAGCTGAGCCTTACTTGTAACTTTAGATTTGCATATGAAGTCTGCTATAACTGACGATTTTCTAAAAAAGGATTGGAAAAAAAAAGAAGAAATTTTGCAGATTTGGTTTTGTTCCTTTTTTTCCCTTCTGGGCAGGTCTAACTCAGGTTTCCATTTCATAATAATGTTCTAGTTTCTCTCTGCCAGTTTTAAACTCTTGTAGTGATCTGTAATAAACAACATTCTGGCACAGCTTTATTTTCAGTCAAATCCCTCTAGGGATTTTACATGAAATGTGTATCCTGTCCTGCTGCATCTGTAATCCACTCAGACCAAATGGGAATGAGGAATACTTACTTCACACAAATTATAATGAGACATTTTGGCTAAATTTGAACTTCAGTGTAGGTATTTGAAAATTCAAACTCCTCTCATTTACCACTGCTCCAGTTTCTGCCTCCAAATCAATTTTGCTTAGAATATTGTCAACCTTACAATAAAACCCAGAAATTTACCTAGATGCTGTGTGCTTTTTTCAAAGTTTTTTGACAGAAAAAGTAGGACTGACAAGTCACAACTTAAAGAAGACAAAAATAACACATCTATCTGTTTGCCTACAAATGGCTGTAGCTGACTGGTGACACTTTCATGGAAAATGATTTTGTACACATCCAAAGAGGCCTCCTCCCATGCCACCCTCAACCTACCAGAAAATTAAAGCACGCAACCATACAAGAGGAAAAGGAAAAAATATTCAAAGCAAATTCTTAAAAATGCTTCATAATGAAAAAGAATATCTAGCACACAGTTTGTAAAGTTTACAGTAATAAAAGTAAAAAAAAAAAGCAGTGATTTGCATCAGAATGTAAATATGCTGATTGTACTTTTCATGGCACTATGCTTTTACAGTTATCATGGAAATATTTTACATGTTTTGGTATTAAAAAGCTTTAAAGATTCTGTCTTTATTTTAGAAAGTATGCGATCTAAGTAATTTTGAATGTTCAATATTAAACATAATTATTGGGGAAATTGAAGTAATATCTGCCTCTCTTTTTTGCAATTAATACCAAAAAAATATGGTGATACAGTATTAGAGTTGGTAATGTGCATTGCCTCCTGGAAGTCAAAACTAAATTGAAAACACTAGTGAGGAAAGAATAAATTTTAGGATATAACTCTGTACATTTTACAGATTATGACAAACTGCATGATGAGCCTTTTGCTAGTTCCAAACAATGGCGCATTCTAGAAGCAACATGACAATTTTCCTCATTGTACAGTAAAAACTCTTAATTATATCTTCAGCAGTTTGCAGATATCTGCATTAACCTAAGTTTTTAATGCTGTTCTATGCTTTAACTGGAGTATGAAGTCATAACTAGGATTCCCCGATATGGAAAATTTCAGCAAGTTGTGCAAAGCGTACTCATAGAATCACAGAATCATAGAACAATTCAGGTTGGAAAAGACTCTTGGGATCATTGAGTCCAACTATTGACCCTAGACTACAAGTTCACCCCTAAACCATATCACCCAACACCACATCTAAACGACACTTGAACACAAACTGGAGTCAGAAGGGTGCTTCCCTATTGACTTTATAAAACCTACTGTTAGCAGTGGAGGTATGCAGTGTTTGAGAAAATAGATTAGAGTTTTCCCAGTTATTGGGCACAATTTCGCCCTTTCAGGATTGTATTTGCTGAATCTTACTGCATCTTAAATCATATTTTAAATAGGAGAAAAATAGGATGGTTCTTCTCTGTGGGGTATATACATAATTTTCCACGAGATAAGAGAGCTTGGTTTTTGACATAATAAACCATAACAGTTCTCTAAATTAATTAATTCTTCAAAGTCAGTTGATATTCTTACATTAAATTCCTGGTAATCCAAAAGTGAAAGTGAGGAAATCATAAACTGATTAAAAAAAATAACAAAAATAAACTACAACAATTTTACCTGCAACAACTGGAGATTTTCTGTCATCCAAAAGTTGAATAGCAGTACTGGCTGTCACTACGTTGCTTTTGTTTGCAGTTTCTGCAGGGTGTATTAAGAAGAAAAAAACCCAACAATTGAAATAACATATTGCAGAACGAAGAAATTGAGCTTTTTTTTCCCGCTTGGTTTGAAACAACAGTTCATGCAGATTTAGTGCCCAGAAGATATGACAGCAAACATCACGTTCTATGCATATATGCACTGCCATTTCAGAATTTCCCATCATCCCAACCACAAGCTTAAAGCTCTGAAATGAGTAATCAATTTCTTCCTTCTCTGCTAAAAGGAGCAACAAAGGTGACAACTGGTAGGGCTTCTCATTAATGTGGACACTTGCTCTGTTAGAGTTGTCTTGCTTAAAATATTAGGTTGTAAGTTTAAGCTGTGCAAATATTAAATGAAAACTGTTTCACCACATCTTGGGGTTTCACCTGGAACCCTGTAAAAGATGTACCTGGTCAAAGGACCAGTAAAGTAGCTGCAAATTTTGATACATATTTCAGATTAACCTGGAGATTAGCTGCAAAGCCCACTTGGTATTGACAAGCTTAGAATTCTTTCAGCATCATACATGCCTCAGCATTTAGAGAACGACAAAATTATAAACCTGTACTAAACGGGATTGAATAGACAAAGCTCCCAGGTATCTGCTCAGCAGCTCTTCTGTACCAGAGTGGAAAATGGTCAGCGTTAAAAATGTTCTCCTTATCTTCAGCTGTCAGGAAATCTCTTGAGAAAGAAAAGAGAAAGAAAATACTTGCTATTTGTTGCATGCATGACTCACAATATGTTTTAGCTTTGAAAGACAAGAAAAAACAAAATGCAACCTTCTGGGAAACAAAATGGTTTTTGACAATTTTTCTGATACCGTTTTGATCAACAAAAGGGTTAACTTTAGCCCCTAATAATTATTTCTGACACATTTAGAATTGCTTTTGTTGTGAGGGATGGAAAAAGTGCTAATGAAAACAGTGCCTCTACATACCACTAAAAACATTTGTACTGATGTGTACAAATAATTATGCTTAGTCTAAGAAGCCTTTTTCTCCTAGCACAATGCAAGAAGTGTGAACTGCACATAGTGGAAAAAGCACTGGAGATTTGGTTGTTTGTTGCCAGTAGAATTTGCTCTTAAGTAATGAAAAATGTAATTTAGCAGGTTGCTTTCAAAATAATAAGGTAAGGAGTAGTAGTGGACAACTACTTTATTTTTCAATAGTCTCAGGGAATGTTAACCAAGGAAAGTTTGTGTCAGTGAAAAGAGCAAGTATGGTCTCCACACTAGAGCTCCGGTTTGCTTTCTGACAGTAAGAAAGTGTAGTGGTACTGATCTCACCTTGTCAGGCTACTCACACTACAACAATATTTTGTTGTCAGATAAGCACCATATAATTTTATATTTAATAAACAGAGTTCATCATAAACATCAAGTGCAGATTTTCTTTTACATGCATATAGATTTGCCTGACATTATCAAACTGCTGCCTGAAAAAGTTATTAATTGTGAGACCTTTCTTTATAGCTCTCCATTTTAAGGGACCTGTACCTCCACTAGACTGCATCTTCTCCAAGAAAAATAGGAAACTCTTGAATGATGACATCTCCTCTCTCGCCCAGTCTACTTCTGTCACTTGGCTTTGTTTCAACACCAAAAAATCTTCCCACAACAATGATGCAAAATCTCTGAAAAAGCCTACAGATATTTTTTTATAGATGGGATAGCGGAAAAAAATCATCATCTGCAGATGTAACACGTTTGTAATTCTGCTCCAACGACTGAAGATGTGAGGCTACTCCCCAAGGGAGTCAAGGGAAAGTAAACGTATGGGCTACAGGTGTAAAACAGATCACTGCTCCAACCATTCCAGTTGATGAAAAAATCTAAGGGATCCTATAATATCTTTAAAATCATAGAATCATAGAATCATAGAATGGCATAGGCTGAAAGGGACCTTAGAGATCATCTAGTCCAACCTCCCTGTTATGGGCAGGGACGCCACCTCTCGACTAGACCAGGCAACACATGGGGACCGAGCGGGAATTTTCTATGTATTTCAGTGTGCCAGTGTAAAATCCTGGAAGAAACAGATGGGCTTCCTAAAAATAAACATTTTTTTTCCCTTCTTTTCTCATATGGCTGCCAAGGATAGCTTTGTTACTTACTGATTAGTAAGCTGTTCCGGACCCACAAACAGGTTGATACGAGATAGTCCAGTTCGTGTTCCAAGGAAGGCAACTTCCACTCCCTTGTCAGAGTTCCTGAAATAGAGCAGAACACAAGCAAAGATAACGTTTCCAGACAGTAAGCAGATAAAGCTATACTACTGGTCACAGAAAGTACAAATGTATTCATTTTTACAAAGATTATTTTAAATACAAATCCTTGATTTTTTTATATGCTGGTTTTTAAATTAAAGTCCCGTGGGTTTTGGAAAACATACAATGTAGAAAAGCTATTTAGACCAAGAGTCACCAAAAATTCAGAGATGGTAAATTTGGTAGCATTTGTGGGGAGGGAATATATTAAAGCCAGAGAATAAAAAGGTGTGGCATAGCTATATACCAATTATTTAATATAACCAGACACCCAGTGAATCAAGACAGGCAGGAATTCCCGATCCTGCTCCCAGTCCACTCAACATTTCTGTGGCACATTGATGCTTCAAGTCATAGGTGTGACTGTTGCTCAAGCAAGCAAAAACTAAGCTGGATTTAAACCACCTAGCTCAAATGGAGCTGCCATCAGGACAGGTTTCAGCCTCTAGACCTTAATCAAAAAATGTGGCAGGTAGCTCAGGCTGAACTCTGTTCCTGCATTGTTATCAGTACTAAACTTAAAATTAGTTCTCATATGGCTACAGAACTTCAGTCATATTACCACAAAAACAGGGACTACAGTCTTAGCCATCTTGCTGTCTCATACTTTATTCTTCAATAAAAGGCCTGTCTCATTAGTATAAATCAGAATATGGAACGAGATCACAAGCCTTCCACTAGCATCTTCCTGCAGCTGTCTTCCTTGTGTTTACTGGATCTATCATTTCACTGTGTAGGAGGATTCCAGGAAATCTTACGCCTCTATATAAATTCATCAATGTCTACAGTATATTAGCATGCAACAATTTCTTTATCTTCTAAGATGAGACTGGATAATTCTTAGATTGATGAATCTGATCCTGTCACATGGATTTTACTCATTCAGTATGAGCATGTGCTTTACAACATATTTTTTGGTTCAACTTTTAAAAAAACAGTTCAAATCTAGCAAAATCTCATCAGGATAATTTCCAGAATTGCCCTTCTACCATAGTATTTCATGCAAACTTCTAATCCTCTTTTCTCTAATATATCCAACATCTCATTACTTAATAACATAGATGAAGTAAAACATACAAACTCTAAAAAGGACCAGCTAATCTCCTGATTATCTATAACAGAAACCTAGATCCCAGTTAGTTCTGGGAAACAACTAAAGAAAAAAATCAAACAAAAAAAGATTGAAGAAATTAATTATTTTACCAGTGCAAGTTTTTCCATATATGATTTGTTCCAAGACAAATCACCAATTCCATCAACAATTTTGGTAAATTTTGCATTAAATTTCTCAAGTACTCTAAACCATTTCTTAGAAATACTCAGAACTGTAAGCTGCAGTTACTATATAATTTCATTAGTTATACCGTGAAAATTGGGTAACCTTACAACTAATCATCATGATGTACAGTGCAGCATAAACAGTTAACACTGACCTTAAAATTTGTGGTACTTAGGATCAAATGGCCAATACTTTCATGCATACCAGCTCACCAACATAAATATTAAAAGTTCACCCGTGACTGACACATAATGACTGACAGAAAGTTTGCTTACTCTGATTTATTTAATGCTAGACTGGTCCAATAAGCCTCAATTGGTGCACTCACGACTGCATCAAATAGAACCTCCTGGATCAATTCTTTATCACCTATTACAATATATTAAAATCAGTAAACATACATGCATACAGAGAACTTTTTTAGATGACTAAACAATTTTTGAACTGTATTTTGTCTGTGATATGTGTTCAACTTGCTGTACTATTAAACATTTACTACATAATATTATGTGGTATTCTTCCACAGTGCAGTTCTCATATATAGTTTCATTGCACTAGCAACAAAACCAAAAAAAATGATTCTCCACTTCATGTAACACCTTCATGTGCTTATTATCTCATGCTCTCATTTGCACATGGCATAAGGTTAAAGTAACCAAGTCTACTAACAGTCACAAAAGCTCTACATTTCTGCAAATAGACAAAATATGCACTCATCCATCTGATTTTTTTTTTATTGTCCTTTGCAGTTCAGAAATGCTAATTACATACGCATTCTCCCAAAAATACTCATGGAATATCTGGCATATGCTTTAGATGTATGACCCAAGGATTGATTCAGATCAGTCCTGTTTAACTTATAAAACCAGATGGAGCGATAATATTGCATAGTATAGCTACACCATCTGAACAGAAACTTGAACGTTTGGTTCAGGCATATTGTCTACTGCAACAGTCAGAAATTTGTATCATCAATATCTTGGCTGATACCCTGGAAGAAAGCTTAAATCCAAATGAAATTCCAAAGTGACATCAGCCAAGCAACCCAATCTAAATTTATCACTGGTTAAACTAAGTACCTTTGCATTAAGCAGAAGGTGCAGTAAAAGAGTTTTTAACTGGGCTATTTAACAAATATTGCATATTTAACAAAATACTTGCATTGGAGCAATGGCTCTTTTCCTGTGAGGTAGCGTTTAATTGCTTCTAACTGAGTCATTTGACGATGTTCAGGATGTAAGTCAGTGTTGCAATAGGACCTGTGAACACGTTGTCAAAACATTAAAATGTTAATATGTATAACCATGATCTCTCTTTGTCTTTGATCATAAAAAATAGGGCTTAGCAAGCACAAACCATATGAAACCAAGAAACGTAACAGACACCAATATCATGCTTTGTTTAAGGCTTACCATTCATCTGCTAAAGATACATCAGGGTGTTCTAAATCATGTAAACCTGTAACAGGAATAATAATGGGTTATTTAGGGAGCAGTCTGGGTAACAGATGGTTATTTACATATACTCAATAGCATAAACCCTTCCTTCTCAGAAAATGCATTATTACCACAACGTAATAAATCACAGTAAACTATGTTCAAATACACGTTAGGGTCTAACAAATCGGCAAAAGCCAATCAAAACTGAAATGGTAGGAAAAACGGTTTTTATGCCGATATGTTTAACTCACACAAATTACTCACATGATACATTTGAAGTTGAGAAGAAAACTTGAGCAGTGAGAATTACACAACGGTAAAAGACTCCTATTCCTACTCCTTCTTCTATTTGGCTAGTAAAGTTCCTTATGCTAAAACAGATAATTCTCATTTCATAAGAGCTGTTCTTTTTAAAAAGAACCCAACAACATTTCTTTAAAAAGAGCAATTCCCCCAAAACTAAGCACACAGCCCATGAACACAAACAGCAGTTTACAGGATCATTCAGAATAGGTTTATTGTACTAACAGGTCATGCAAATGCTTGTAAATAAGAATTGTGTCATTAGTTATACAGCACAATAGAAATGTACTATAGCAATTTTAAAAACTCTTCAATAGACGATAGACAATAAGCAAACAAGGTTCAGAAGGCAGAGTCTGAGTTTAAACCTCCTGAGTATGTAATAAACAATGAAAAGGAAGCCAGAAAGAGAACTATAATCATAGTTTTGGGGTGGAGGGTGAGGTGTCAGTAACAGAGAATCAGTGAAGGTAAGAGAAAAGGAACAGTTAGTTACGGTGATGTTAACAATTCTGGTGATGCATCTGGGAGGAAATATCAGACAGACTGGCTGAGATGTATGGCTGGATTTAAGAAAGTAAGTGAGAGGTAGATCGGGAATGGTTTGGAGAGTAAGCAGCTCCAGGTCTCCTCCTGTGCTGTCTTTCTATCTAGACATGTATTTGCTGTGCAAGTGACTCAAACTTTAAAGCACTTCTTTCCACATCCCTCCTGGGCACAGGAACATACTCATGTTCTGAAACACAGCTGAGGAACAAAGACTTGAAGAAATTACCTGTCTCATTTAACCTCCGTGACAAAACAAGAAGCAGAATTGGAAATGGAGACTTAAGCATAAAATCAGACAGTATTCATCTGTTGAAACATTTTTTTGTTTGGCAACTGCTAAAACTTCTCAATCCTTTATTCACTATTCTGAAATGCCTCTGCTCTTCCTTCACCTTCAGGAACCGTTGTTTCTGATCTTGTGGCCAGATTTTATCACCACTCACAGCTGACTCCTCTACTCATTTTAACAGTGGACTTACCATGAAGTAAAACCATAAAGAAGAATTGTTTCCCTGGTTACTTCTATTGTATTGTTATTATAAAAATGCAAAATGGAAAGCCCTGTAAACAACGCCCTAAGCAGTCACATCTCTGAAAGATTCCATAATGCTTATAGTCTATGAACAAAAAACCCATAGCCATTACAGTGCTCTTAGTGGTTACTTCATTCAGAAAACACAAATAATAATTAACATTGGACCCTGAGTGATTCTCTGGAACACTGAGGGAGGAGGACAGAAGATGATCCCCATCTAAAGAAGATTCACAAACAGTCTGAGTATGCTCAACAAAAATGAGAGGGGAACATCTCATGAAGTAAAATATCTTTAAAGAAAAAGAATAAAATAAAAATAATAATTCCCTTATGGAATCTGCAGGCAAATATACAAGCTTTAGATCTATCAAATCAACAATAAAACTACTGTGCAAAGAACTTGAGAAGGTAGATATCTTACCTTCTTCTACAGTTACATTCCCTCTAAAGAAATATTTTCCATGTCCTCTAGAGAGAGCCACACCTAAACTGTGCAGAGAAATAAAGCAGACCTTGAAATCTATGAGACAAACAATAGCAGACATTCAGAGCTATTTTCATTTCTAACATTCCCAGCTCGTGTTCTATGATTAACTTTAAAACTGTTTGTTTTGAAACCCTCTCTGATCGTATTTATTGTTCAACTAGCTGCTTCAATGCCACTTCAGTTCTGATGTGCCTGCAACAATTGGCTGTATTTATGTGTGCTTAGAGGTGCAGTAAACCATTATTCTCTGGCAAACTAATAAACGAGCCTCTCTAAGCTCACTGCTGTTCACCCAGCAAGAGATTTCTTCAGCTGAGCCTTGAACATGCCCATGGCCTTACAGTGGAGACTACGATTTTTTTGTAAATCAGACTAAGCTGTTGAGAAACTACATAAATCCGTGAATCAACAGTGGTACTGAGAGGAAAAGAATTCTGTATTTTACAACAGTATCATAACTTCTCTTGGACTGATTTTCCTGTGATTCATATTTTCAGTTAGTTTAACTTTCTTTCATTGACTTCACAAACTCTCAACAATTATATATACAGTTTTGGTTTGGTTTTTAGTCTACCAATTAAACTATTCAGGTTTAATGAACTGGCTGGGGGGATCCCTCCTCCTATTGAGCACTTACACAGAACAACTCTTGGCTTCCATTCATTCATGGGGATTGTATCAGGCTAGGAACCGGCCAGTAATCAGTAAGATGAAAATGCATGGGCTCATACTTCAAGTACATGTAGAGGCACCAACTCCATGAGCACACATGCAGTAATCAACAGCTCAGTCAGGAAACAGGCTGAATAGGAAATATTTTTGACACTAAAGCACGTATTTCACTCAGCGCTGCCCCTGCTGCCTTCCTGAATCTATACTCCTACCCACCAAAACCAGGTACAGACCATGCTGAAAAAGGCAGGACAGTTTTCCTACTATATTTCTGTCCTAAGAATCAGAACTCGCCCTGCAGGCAGATATATAGCCCCATAACTGTTTACTAAATAGGATAAGAATGTCAGTGCCACAAAAAAAAAAAAAAAGAAAAATAATCAAAACCCCCAAACCAAACAATAACAAACACCACAAAATAAAAGCAAAACAAAAATCCCACTGAGTTTTACCACCCATGTGTGAATCTCTTCGAGAATAAGCACATGCATTAGAGAGCAATGTGCCTGTATTTTCCCTGTGTGGAAATGCAGCTCTGTGAAATGGTTCCACTGAAGAAATTTCAGTTGAGTATTGCAACTATCAGCCTCCTGCTTTAAGCATAAGGTACAGTTAACATTCCTCATTAATGGATTACTTCTAATTCAAATATTAGCATTTTTAAAGTGACTTCCTGTCTTTCTTTTCTTTTGTTTTCCCCTCCTAGGATGCCTGCCAAAATAACAAGGCTGACATACTGAGTTTTAGCTGTACAAATACACTGAAGGTAGTTCAGAGAAACAAAATATCCAAACCTCAAATTGGAAGTGAAATACTATCTCATTTTACATTACATTTTTGTTGTGGAAAAAAATCAAAATGGGGCTCAATATGTAGTTACTTAAATGGATTATAGTATTTATAGCTCTCCAAGTATTTGCAAAAGCCTTTCGTTCAATGCAAACCTCAAGTGAATATTTTTTTAATGAAACGTAAGCCATGACAAACACTGTGAGTTTGCCTGTGTGAGCTTGCACAAAATTTCCATCCCTGGAAAAGCTGGGAAGGAATACTGGTAGCCTCCTTCTCCTTGCTATTTTCAGCATTGTCCAGGGATATTTCATTGTCAACTTTTGCTGATGAGCTTTTAATGAGTTCACAAGCCCTGTATAAATGCAAATCAAATGAGTCTGATGAAATGTCCATTTATTATAGTCAGCTCTACCTGAATGGAGTACCCTTGATGTCTGTATAATAGTAGTCATTTGTCATCACCAATACCCGCTTCTAGATTCAGAACAAGAAAGTCAGAAGGGGAGAGGGGAAGAAGTTAGTTTACTATAAGAAATGTATAAAAGGTCAAGTGGTTAGTCACTGATAAAATTACAAGCACTGTTTACATTCAGTGAATGAAAAAGAAAATATACTGCAGTGAATTATATTTATGGCAATCTTTAAAACTGTTTAAAACATGAACTGCTTGCTTTATACTTAGTTGGAATAATATTTTATACATTGTACCCCTTTGTCCACTGTCTTCTTCACTTCCATGGAGAATTTCCCTGTTTTCCGATTCACCATTGCATTTCGAAGCTGAAATGAAGGAAACATATGTCAATTCTTTTATTTGTGTTTTCTGTAATTCTTTCAACTCTCAGTATTCTGGTGCACTCATTTAGCCCAAGCAGTACTTAACTTTCTTAATATCTTCATTTTCAGTTCTACGACACATTGAACAACCCCCTTACAGATTTTATTATTGACTGCATAGGCCAAGACTCCGGCCACACAACTTTAGGCAAGGTGCTGAGGTAAATAAGGGAAATAAAGTAGGAACATTCAGCATTCTGCATGGGAAAACAGCTCTTTGTATTGTAATCTGGACCTTATGGTGGATAAAAAGTGTAGTTGACTACTATCCTGCAGCTACTGCATGGGAAGATAAGGACGCGGTTCTCAGCTGCATTTAGCTGAAGTTAGACCAGGGCTCAGTGTTTAAATACATAAAAAATTATACGCAGAATAACAAAGCAAAACAGAGAAAACCTCACCCTATACTATTCATTCTGCTTCTGCTTGTACTCTACATTGGACTGCATCCAAAACTAGCACCAGAAACTGCATCAGAAATCATAACTAGCAAAAGAATGGCAGCCCACTGGATCAGTAACATGGTTCAATGCGAACACATGTCTGCAATGAGTGTTCTTGTGATTCCCTCTGTTTGTTCATTGGTGTCCAGGCACCCCTTCCAAGGCCACAAATTTTATCTCTTTAATGGAAGCCTTAGGTGAGCCACAGCTTTAAAAATTGGCCTAGACCTCTCCCTCTCAAAGTAATCCAAAAGACTTTTCAAATCCCCTTCAAAAACAGGTTTCATTTCTATATAAACCAAAAAGTCAAAGTAGCAAGAGAAAATGGAAAATAAATAAAAAAGGTTTTATACACAATGATTTGTCTGCTGCTCTGCAAGTTAAATCTGTTACTTTTTAGACTACCACAAACACTGCTTTTCAGTAAATTCATCCTAGTCTCTACACAAGCTGCAAGCTCCCAAATCTGTTCTGCAAAGTCCCTTCCCCATCACATCTAAAATGTCTTCCCAAAGCACACCTATTTGCCACCTAGAGAAAAAGAGCCTTCTGCCCAGAAGACATCAGCTGACACAGTCTCTCTCTTAGGTGCATATGCCAGGATGATAAAAAGAGGAGTAAAAATACCCCAAAACCACCAACAACTCACTGTTTTGAATTTGCCTATTTATCAGTGCAGGACTTTAGGGAAGAAATAAGAAAGTTACTCCTTAGCAGTTATACCAGTCATATATGAAAGAATTTTATTTTAATGCTTTTAGATTTACAAATGGAAGAAGTAACTTCATTTGCTTAAATCTGTTAATTAGCCATAGAATCACTAAGGTTGATCGTAAAGATCAACCTTAACGATCATCAAGTCTAACCGTTAACCTAGTAATGTCAGGTCCACCACTAAACCATGCCCTGAGCACCACATCTGCACGTTTCCTGAATACCTCCAGGGATGGTGATTCAACCACTTCCCTGGGCAGGAGCCTGTTCCAATGCCTGACAACCCTGGTGGTGAAGAAATTTTTCCTAATATCCAATCTAAACCTTCCCTGGTGCAACCTGAGGCCATTTCCTCTTGTCCTATGGCTTGTTACATTGGCACAGATGCAGAAAGTTTAGTGTTTGTTTCAGGATATCTTCAATCACAAATTGAAGTTGCTATACTTGTGGGATTAATTTGTGGCAAGAAGCACCTAAAAATCTTTCGCAGCTGTTAATTTTCATTACAATAGGTGAACTCCACTGACACAAATCAATTCACACACCCTCTTCGGGGATACTCATAATGCAGAATAATATTGACAACATTAACATTTTTATGCCTCTTCTTTTACTTACGTATCTGAACACAACTTTTGACATTGTGTTCTCACTGAATAAATATCTCATGGTCTCGATTACTTCATGCCAGATTGTGCAATTCAGTCAGATTTTAATGAAAAATTGTGAAGATAATCATATCAATGCACTTTCCAGGCTTTCTAAGTTAGTATGGAGTGAAAAGAGAATGACCAAACTTGCCAATGAAATATTTGGTTTAATTCTTGTGAACAAGTTGAGCATGGCTGACCTATCAAAAATTGCAAACTTTGCAGCTCTTTAAATCTAATTCTAGGGCATCTAGATTTGAATTAACAGTCTTACTCTTCTGTCAGTGAGTGTAAAAGAAGAATTTTTAGCTGGAGGCATGTGTAAAATAAAGCATATATTTTACTGTAGATTTTTTTTTTAACAATACATAATAGGTAATTCTGGAAATAGTTTCCCATTTTAAGTTTTGTGGTTTGGACTTGGAGAGCTGGTCTTAATTAACCATCTACTTTCTAACATTTACAGAACTGTTCAATTTATCTTTAACATGGTTTTCATTTTTCTCCTATTGGTGCCTGCAGTTGTCTAAGATCCATTCCTCTCACAAGCCTCAGGCAAGTCATAGATTTACTAAAAGGGCCTCCAAACTCTCAGCAGTGTTTAAGATCAAGTCTGCATGTGGGATTTAGAGTTTTACTTTCCTTCTTTTTTTTTTTTTGCTTGCTGGGATTACATTTCTTAGTTTTGTAATCTGGTTTCTCGGCTCTTCTGCAGTTTCATCTCCCTCCTCAAATGCATAAAATAAGTACTGCCTCAGTTGGCTTCAAGCCCCAAACATTCATTCATGGTCTTTTTTATTTGGGAAAAAATATTTCATTCAGCTAGAAGTTATAATAAAAAAGGTTTCTGTCCAAATTGAAACTTCTTGTCTTTGGTACTGCATATTCTCAAACTTTGCTGGAAGACACCGTTAGTTTAATAAGCTGATGCTAAGATTTCTATTTCTAATAATATACAGTAACAGCAGGTACTGTTAACCTGGAAAATTAACTGATGAATATATATTTAGAACACCTCTATTACATGGTGAAAAAAATTCTAACCTTAGTTCTGCCACCTTTTCCCTACTGGATGACTAGAGAAAACCTAGTTTTTCATCTCTTCAGAGTAATATGCATTATTATTGCTTTGACTAAATATCTTCCAATCAATTGCTAAGAACCCACTTTCACTGTTATAGTATGAGATCATTCTATATTCTTGGAAAACTATGTAACTATTTAATTTAATGTGGGGAAAACGTAAGAAAATATCTTCAACAGCTTCTACATAAGCGTTTCATGGGAGAAAAATATACCAGTAGTAGTCTACTGTATTAAATGCAGCTATATGAATACATTAAATCTTTTCCTCTGCAGTTGAATAAACAATGCTTTACTATGCAAGCTTGGAAGAAATTAAGAACATCAAATTCAAGGCCCTGGGTAGCTCTCAAATCATTAAATCACTTCACAAAGTTTTAAGTCTCCTATACAACATTTACGTTTTCACTCAGAATTAACACTACTAAGGAACTGCATGTCGCAAAATATCGACTTAAATAACACACACTGTGAACACTCATTTGGATCCTCACATCAGAAAAGCTGCAGGAAGAGCTGGATTTCACTACAACAGTCTACAGAACTTCCTTCAAATTCCATTTTCATTTTAGCTCCAACGTTGTTAATGACTCCGCCTTAGTTTTGATATTGCTTTATTTCATATCTCCTTCTCCTTTATTCTTCTGTTAGTATTTCTGACCCTCTGAAGGTCTTAGTAACATGGTATAAATTACCTAGTTTTTATTTCACACGAATACAAAAACTTGTAACAATATATCAGGCTTGCTTTTAAAAATATTGTTTGACATTGAGTTTGTTCCTATTCAGGTATTTGCATGATGGTGTCCACTTTTGTGTGGCACTGCTGGAGGACAACATTTAACCTGATTTAACCAGATAACACTTGGCTGCTAATCATCAAACACTAGATGCATGCTCTGTTTTACAAAACCTATCTGTTCAGGTATTACTTATCAAAGAATGCACACTTATTCGGGCATGTACTACAGAATTATTAGCACTGATAGATGGGGATCATCCAAGAAAGCCATGACAACACATCTGTATTATACAAGAGTACTGAAAATTGTGCTTACTGCTGCTCCAAAGCTACAACAGAATATCTAGGGGGTTTTCTATTGTATATTAAATATTTATCAAAATTAATTTCACTTCTGATTTATCTGGTTTTTTTACTCTTATATATTGGCCAACGGACTTGGATCTTTTCTCCAAATTTAGTCCTCAATTTAGTCTATAGTAGAAGATTCTCTTCTCCTTCAAAAGAGAGCAATTGGAAAGGCTGTTTGTTTCTATATTACAATTAAAAAGACTTTTTAACAAACTTAGGAGAGGGCTGAAAATGAAAGAGTCAGATAAAATGTATATATGCATCTTTCATCAAAATGTGAAAGAAAATGTTTTGCAGTCTATGGATAGACAGAATCCCAGTTTTGCTAGAAATTTCCACAAAATGTGACAGAACTTAGGAGACTCTAAATACTTAGAAAGCACCGGATCTTAACTTCTTGCTTTCATGTGTATTCAGATAGAATCTCAATTACAAATAAAACTTCATTTTTGATGTCACAGAAATAGTTCAATGTTACATTAACTGAACTACCAAACTTCTAAGATACGAATAAAAATGAGTGATTAAAACAAAAAAATAAGCAGAGAAAGCACTGAAAGAAATAAAAATATAAAACCCAAAGAGAAATAATAAGAAAAAAATCATGAGGGTTTTAAAGTTGTACCTAACTACAGCAATAACATTTCAAAGGAGAGAAAAAAATTTAAAATGTCATTTGCAGAGGAACTGATGGAGTAATATGTGATTAAAGACAAAAGAAAAGGTAAGGTATAAAATATGAAGTCAACCCTATTGCAAGATTGCAAAAGGTGCCTACAGTATATGAAAATCTAACGAAGAAGCCTTAAATAGTGCATGCACAGAAAACTGCACAAAGACATACAAGAAACATAAAAAAAAAGTCGGAGTGTGCAGTCCAACAGAAAACTACCAAAGGAAGTAAGATGGCCTCCTAGGAGAGGATGAGGACAGTCTATCACCTGATGAAGCAGACGTTGCTTAGAACATAAATGAACTGCTTCCCCATTCACAAACCGGGTGGACAGAGAGCGGAATGTAAGATATATATTTTGAAAGGGAGAAAGAAAATATAGACTTATGTCAGAACAGGGATCAAGAAATTAGTACATCTGAAGACTGAAAAGACTCCAGGGGCAGTTGTACGTGATCCATCCCAGATTTCAGAAGGACATGACAAAGTAAATATAGGAACCTTCAGTGGATATATTCAAAACCTCTCTGGAAAAGCAGGGGCATGAGGGAGCTGAAGGTAGCTAACACAGTACTGACATTTGAGAAGGGATCGAGAAGGCATCTATGAAAAATACAGACATGCAGCCGTGACTTTGGCAGTAGAGAACTTATGGGAAAAAAACTACATTATAGGACAGAAAGGGGAACACCTGGAAAGTTACGATTTAATTAAGGACAGTCAACACAGATTCACACAAAATGAATTATGCCTAACAAATCAAATTTATTGAGGAAGTAACAGAAAGACCAGGCAAAGGTTAAGCCATGGACATAAGGAAAGCTTTTGATACAGTACGGCAGAAAAGGCTAAGCCTGCAAGGTAAGAAAGAAGAAGATAAAGAGTGAACTACAGAGTAAATGTAGCACTGAAAAATGAGTTTAATGGAAAGGATTGTGTGCATAACAGCTGACAGACATAGAATGCGCACTTCTGTAGCTACCCATATGTCTGAAATTAGGGGTTTGGAGTGAATCTGTGCTCTGAACAGAGGTCAAAGAATCCAATTTTGTTCATTCATCTAATGTTTTTTTGACTTGGTACATTAAGGAAAATAGCTCTCATTTCTTCCATGAAGAAAAAAAAAGGATCTCATGGAGAAAAGTTAAACTTATTCCTTCATTTCTCATGTCTGAGTTTCAGCAGTTGTCTGGGCTAGCCCTAAAGAGATATTCTATTCCATTCTTTAGCGCTATTACTTGCTATTCAGCAAAAATACACAACAGGATGCATGGACAATGCAAGGGTGATGAGTTTTCCAAAGACACAAAGAGTCTGTGTTTGTGGTATATGCATACACAGGGAAGAATCAATACAAAACAGTTATAAAATTCAGAATGAATTTAAAGGGGCTATTGTCCTTCCCTTCCTGAGAGCAGTCAAGTGGCCTCTCTAATGACTACTTAAACAGTTTCCAGGTACAGAAGTGGATGCAACTATGTCTTCTGACAGGGCTTTAAAACACATCACTTACCACATCATCTCTGTCTTCCCACTCGACCTCAGAAAGATCCACACTACTGTAGTTGGGCTTTCTTCGTTTCTTCCCTTCTTCATACTGGTATAAAAAATGAGAAATATTTAACACATCCTCTTTCATTTGCACATTGTAAGAGAAGATTTTAAAAATTTGCTGGATGCATGCTGACTGTACACAATACACGGAAGGGTAAGTAGCTTAATTCATACAATGTGCACCATATTGCCATATAAATGCTGTCTGGGAACTAAAAACCTACATTGTAGATGATTATCTGCATGATCTCTTGCCACGATATAAAGCTTTTATCCGTGGATACATTGGGAAGTCAAACTCACCAGTTGTACCTTCTTCTCCCCATATGGAAAATACATGAGATCTTGATCTTGTTGTTTATGTTAAATGTCTCAAACTAGCCCCTTCAGCTGTACAGGAAGTTATATTTACTATAATCTTATCAACAAAATGTTTACTCATTTCTCTTTAAACAAGATAATATGCAAGTCTTGGGAAGTATGGTGTTAACATTTGCTGACACTATACTTTATCTACAACTGCATGGCTGAAAAAGTAATATACTTTATAGGTTTTATCAGTAGTCAGTGTTACACTGTAAATTGCACATTTAAAATAAACATGCTAGTGACAAATTGATTTGACACCGAGGCGTTTAAAACATAGGAAATTCTGCCCTCTGCTGAACATTCACAATCAGAGGGTCTACTAGCGTGAGAACAAAATCTTGCTTGTTGGAAGAAAAAAAGTATTCAGGAAGATCTGCAAATAAAGAAACTAACTGGTTAGAAAAAATTTGGAGAATATATTTGAAAAAAGTTAAATTTGTGAGAGGATCAGGTCATTTTTCCTTCATGATGCATATAAGCGGGCGGGAAAACCACAAATCTTTATCTAAAGTATGACAGGAGACATGGGGATACTGTGAAAAATTGCCGGATTGCTTTTGTGACTTCCCAACAACAGCATCACAGAAGGATAGAAAATGTACCTGTAAGGCAGCATATATATAGTTGATTCTCCTCCCTCAGGGTAGGACCAACTATACCATAAACCAAATCTGTCAGTGCCTGAGACAGTCAATTCATCACTGGGGCCAGTTGTGCAGGAACTTTGAATAACGTTCTGCAGATTACAGAGAGACTAGAGAGGCAAAAGAAAAAACTTGCTCTCTGAACATTTAACAAGGTTATTCCTATCCTGACTTTTTCCTTTCTAAATCAAAAGATTCTCATGTGAATCCTACAGTTGCTTTTTTACATCACAGTATTTAAAAATATGCATGACAAAAATCTCCCTACTGGATCATAATCACAACGAGATTTTGAGATATTGGTAGCACCATAAAGTTTCTTCTAGCACAGGCTTCACTGAGACTCCTTAATTTTTCTCATAACAGCTTGGATACTCTAATGATTTCTATAGACGTTTCTTTTGGGAAACTGTGGGATAAAATCCTGAATCAATTCTATTCTTCTTTTGAATAACAAAAAATCCTAGCAACAATCTTGGTGTAAGTCGTGGACCAATTTCTGAGAATTCATGCAGATGCTACTGAAAAGTACTTTCATGTGCTTTTCTTGCCCCTCTGCTAGAAGCCACCATTCTTGTAACAATAAGGTTATCTACTTCTCAGCTAACGCTATTCAACAGATGGGTAGAGAGATATAAAGAATTTCTACTTTCATCACATGCTTATACACGAAACCGTGAATTCAAGTATCTCGGTGTGACAATTAATTCTTGCTACATGACAACTCTGATAGCCAGAGATAATTACACTCAAATACTGTAGTACAAAATTTGCTGTGGTCCAGTTCATTAGCAGGACTTGATTTTTGTAACTATGTTTTGCAAGTTTTTCATTATAGCTGCATCTATACCAGTATTATCTTTACAAGGAGTAATTATGCCTACTTTTTGAGGCTGCACCTATTAAGCAAGCAAATCTTTGATCTGATTTAATCATTCTAGTATAGAAATGGTTACAGACAAGCTCTGAAATACTGAGAGCTGAAAAGTGTTACATGGAAGTTAGCTGGGATCATTTGAGTAGAGCAAACAGCTCCTGTACTGGTTCCAATATTTAATTACATCCTTACTCACAGATGCTGAAGAGCTTCTGGGCTATACTGCATTCTCAGACACATGTGCAAATCCTTATTTATGACAATAGGAATTGATCTTGTGTGTCTGATAGCAGAAGTAGGCTTCAAATATAAGGCAATCCATTTGCATGATATTGATTACGGAGTTTGTATTAATTCTAACCATATAGATTCCACACCTTGCACTCAAAGAGCAAAAAAAAGACCCAAAAGCAATAAAACTAAAAGCTGAATAAAACATTCAAATTTCTGCAGCAAAGCCAGAACTGGAAGCAGTCATGTCTTAAAAAGTCAGATAAGCAGAAACAAAGCCAAAATTCCAATTTTGGCTCAAGCTGAAATGCTCAAGCAAGGGTTACACTCTATAAGCACTCAAAGGAGTTGAAAGTGCATTTCTTAAGCACATTTAGGACAGGAACTAATAAAGTACCGAGATGCCTAAGCCCTCATTCAGCTCTTACACTTTTTGGACGCTACTGTTTAACTGCCTACACAGGAATTCAGTAAGTGAAGAGTAGATTTATGTTATAGTTCAGAAAAGAATGGCAGAGATAAAAAACCAAAACAAAATCCAAACACCACTTCTGGCAAGCACAAGGATAAAAAAAAAAAAAGCAATTATTTATACATCTGGATAACTTTGCTTACAGATCTAATCTTCATAAAGATATTACTTTATTCCTAGTAGTAAATTTAAATATCTTTATTTAACATAATTAGGGCATAAAACATAAATGCATGTAGATAGTATATAAAAGAATTCATAACACTACTGTTTGGTTGGACCTTTGTCTTGAGCTTCCTTCTGGTTTTATTGTTTAAGTAATTTCTTAGTAAAAGTTATTCATGAACCTAGAAGCAATTCACCATCTTCCAAAAATTTACCTGTATCTTTTTGTCTGGTATAATATCTAATCAAACTTTTTTATCTCTGAAACTCGTGGGTGAAACACAAAATACTGAGCTAAGGCTGAAGCCAAACCCATCTGCAAGATTACTATAAAACATTGAAACACATTATTAAGGGAACCACTGGGAAAGATAGAAACTAGGAGCTCCATCATATTACTCTGATTTAAGTGCATGAGGAAAAGAGCTAGATGTAAATTGCGTGCTGTTAATCTGCTTTGGTCAGTATAAAATCTGTGGTGATATTATTATACTAAACCCCTGGAGGGAAAAAAAATAATGAAAATTTTTAAATATCTGGACTGCAATACCAAAATCATCTAGTCTGCTCAAAACTACACAATAGCTCCAACAATTTTGTTCACTGAAAGTACACAGGAAATGATTTTGTTTAGTAATCAGAATGAGCTTTATCTCACTCAGTATCTTTTATTTGAGACTTGGCCAAACTCTTATAGCACTGAATGATTCAAACATGTGACATGTACTGTTTTAAGACTGAATCACATTTTTTCACCACCCCATATACAACCACTTACATGTGCCATTATTAAAGTCTTTGCTTTGATATTTTATTTATTTATTATTTTCTTTTAACACATGCAGTCCCAAACCATCTGCACTGAATATGACCTGCCACATGTTTATAAAGTCAGAGTGTAGCAATCTGATCACAGAGAGAGCAAGCTACATCTTAACAGCTGCAGCCCTTGGATCTAAGGTGATTGGAATTTCTCAGACATGCTCCATCTGGATAATGGGGATGTAGGAGAGGGTAAGTTGCTGTGATAGCAGTCTTGGAAGCATCAATAGATTAGCCACACTTGTGGAATCACCTGTGAGAAAATAGCAAGAAAGTATCTAGTAAACAGCAACCAAAAGTTAGAGAGGTAAAATAATTTCAAGGGAAAGCTCTTCCTTGCCAAACTATTATCCTATGTACAAAAGCGAGGAATCAGAAACTAAAAATTTCCTCCAACTTTGAAAGCATCATTTGATTTTCATCTTTCTGCACCAGTACTTCAAAATTATGATAATGTATTTATCTAAACAGGATTTGAGAATTATCTCAATTTTTTTGTTTAGAGACAAGCTTGAACATAGGCAAATATTTTTTTCTGAACTTGAATTCTATGTAATTAAATACACAACACAATTGCATGTATGACTGTAATTTACATTAAGCCATCCCGTAAAGGAAAGGTTGCATGAACAAACACCAGCCGAAAAGCATCATTAACTAAAATGACACAATTTTCCATAAAATTTTAACTAAACTGACACAGACTGAACGCAGTGTCATTACTGCAATTCCCAAGTCTAGCTAAGTTGTTCAGCTACCTCCCTTCTCTCTGATTCTAGATGCTAATGCTACCACCTATTTATTGTCTAGTGTAGCTCTGACAGACATAATGCAAACACTGCAGCTGGGGGAATGGAAACTGCATTGAACCCGACTTCACATGGTCAAGCACCAGCTGACCCTCACCAGTCACCCGCCCCAGCACGCCTGCTGCCCAGGCACGCTGCTCCTTACTGAGTGACTGCGCGAGGCGAAAGCTCGGTTTACACCAACTTCAGGAGCAGAATCATCTGTTCCTGTCACCAGCCCTTCAAATGTGTGTTCTTTGCTCTTTGCATAGATCAAGGCAGGACTATATTGCTGCTTCCTCTCCTGGCTGCAAACAGGGATATGTCCCTGAGTGAGGCAGCGCTCCAAACAGAGCCGCGCCGCTCTGCTACATAAATGTGCACAGAAGGAAGGGGAGGGGGACACTCCCTACTTTTCAGCAAGAACTGTAATAATTCCAAACTGCAAAGTCATTTAAATAGGGATTGAGTCCTTCAGCATTAATTAAATTGATAAAATAATACTTCTACCCCAAAATGTTTAGAATTTAAATACTATGGGACAAAGACAAGATAATGGAAAATACAGTGGAAAGTCATAAGAAGATGAGGAAGAGATCACTTCAACAAACTTATTCATATTCTGACATTAAAAAAAAAAAGTAATGTAAAATTGCCTTCACTGCTTCACCTATT